TCTGTAGCTCCCGTACAGCCTTTCCTCATGCCTTGCAACTGAGGCTCCAAGGTTTGCTACCAAAACTTATTCCCTCCTATTTGCAGATCTCAAGTAGGTGGGATGCTCTAGAAGAAGGGGAGATGACAGGCTGCAGACTGAGCACAGAGAAAGGACATCTTGAACTCTAGGTTGTACATTTCTTCTTAAAACGTTTGCCCATACATGCATTCCTCTGTGATGGTAACCCATTGAGATGGAGGTAAGTAGAGAGCAGCTCGACTTTAACAGGGTAAAAGAGGGCCCCTCTGCAAAGATGGCTGGTGCCACTGGCTGTACTGCTTGAGAGCATTCTCAGCTCGTTATTTTCCACTACAGTTGTCCCATTTGCCCTAGTTCATGGTATGGTTTTCGATGCATATGTTCATGTCACTTTGGGGTTTGAAAATGAAGCCAGATTTTCAAACCATTCATGCTAGTGGGATGAAGTTTGGCTTAACTGGATCCCATAAAGTGCCTGGGCATTTATAGCATTTCATTTTTGATTGCTTCTTTCCAGTTTTTAGGATCATGATCCAATTCTGCCCCCCCCCCCCCCCCCCCCCAAAAAAAAAAAAAAAAAAAAAAAAAAAAAAAGAAAAAGAAAAAGTGAAGCCATAAGTCTAGGGACAAAGACTTTCTCTTGCAGGAGCCTATGTCTCCAACTACTCTAACTGATCAGATCATGACTTTGTCCAGAACTGAGACTGAAAGTTCAGAAGTAAGAAACTAGAACTGGCACCGGATGGAATCCTAAGCTTACTGAGACAAGCTCCCAGTGATTTCCCTGATACATGAGCTTAGAGATTGACCTCCTGATCCCTGAAGGCATGGGAGATTTAGGATTTACAGACAGGGACTATCACAACCTGTGACTATCACTAGCTGTGACTGCCTTATTCTCTAGTATTACAGAGAGCTTGCTGTTTGCGGCAATGATTGCTCTGTCTGAGGAGACCACTTGAGGTTCAAAGAAAGTTTTCTGTGTCATCTAATTTATCTTTTAAATTGACAGACAAGAAGTTGAAACTAAGGCTAGCTCCACTGACTGAAAGAACTCAGAGCTTGAGGCGATCACAGTAAGAAGCTTTGCTTCGAGACAGTTGAAAGGACCCAGGCACAGCAGGCACACTCTGCTCTCCGGTTTTTCTGCAAGGTCAGAGAAGATACAGTCCATGTCTGTCCTATAGGTAATCATTGCATGAAAATGTTCTGGATTCATAAAGGCTACTGACACTTGGTGATGTGAGCTTCCAAATTCTCTCACTTCCCTAAATTGTCATCAGTTCTTTACCTCTCAGCACTAAATCTGTCTCTGCAATTCATTATGAAAACCTCCTATGATCTCACATCAGCTTTTCTCTGCCTATTTAAACAGATTCACCTCTATTCCTCCTGCAGTTCCATGGAGAGTTCATTACTCTCTTACTCTCTTCACAGTGTCCCTGGACTGTACATTTCAAAAGGAGAGAAAAAAGAAGAGGAGGAAGAAGGAATCATTTTTCTCCTTCTTTGCTCTTCCCCCCCCCACCTCAATTTTAGTGACCACTCCTCCCAGATTCCCCTGGAAGCTCTTGAGCTAGGTGTTAACAATTCTGCTTGCTTTCTGCAGAGGAGTAGCTGTTCTTCCCTATGAGTTAGGGAAGTAGGTAAAGGTACTCAACCAATCAAAAGAGAAATCTTCTCTGACAGAAATGAGATTTCCAAAAGCCTGGAGCTTTCTGAAGGCCAAAACAGAGGTTCCAGAAGCACCTACATGCAGCTCCTTTGCTGCAGTCCCTTCTTGCATATGCCTCTTCACCCTTCCCCAGCTTTGAGCACTGTCGTATCAGTAGGTCAAAAAATCAGCCAGAACACACATTTTGCTGAGCTCAAAAATAAATCAGTACTGTGTGATAGCCAGGGTGGTTTCAGACCTGCTCATCCGATTGCAGTCTCTCTGATGTCCAACACAATTCTCCTTCGGTAGATAGAGACATCTATCACTTGTCACTGTGTATAACAGAGGAACAAAAATTCTTGAAGACTGTTTTTTCCATTTTATGTGTGTGGGGGGGTACATACATACTGCTTAGCCTTTGGCATCCACTTTACTTGTAATATTCTCTTGTATAGCCTTGAATCAACTGAGCAACAGTCAGTTTCTAGGGTTTTTTTTTCAGTTGTTCTGGTCTGAAAGGGTTTTAGATACAGATGGACTGTGAATACTTACAGAGGTTACCTGCAAAAAAAGCATCAAGATGAACACTAGGAAAAAAAAAAACTACAACTCAGTTCTCTAGCACAAAGAACATGCTACAGAAAGCGGCATGAGCAATTCTCTTGAAGATGGCAGTCCATCTTCAACTGAAACTATCTGAAATAGAGTGACCGAATGGTGAAGGACTCAAGTTGGCAGTGGTGGAGGGAGATGGATGGAATTTGCAGAGAAATGAGTGACACAGAAAAAGCCTGCTGGAGAGACAGCAGTACTAGCAGAAGAGTTGGTGTTGTACTGAACCTGAATGTGGAAACTAGCAAATTATGATATATTATGTGATAATGGCCACAGCACCAAGGACAGAGTGGTTGGGGAGAGAGAGAAAGATGACTTTTGCAGCACTGAGTAAACTGAAGTGTGAGGGAACAGGAAGCCAGAAACGTGAAATCAGCTGTGACAACTGACCAGGGCATGCAGCTCTCACTGGGCAGTAAGCATGGAAAAAATTCTGTACATATTAGTCTTTCCCTTTCCCTCTTATGCTAAATTCTCTACCCCACAAATTTTAGCCAGGTAAGTGGGTGCGAGTTCTGTAGCTCTGGTATAGCCTTTCCTCGTGCCTTGCAACTGAGGCTCCAAGGCTTGTTACCAAAACTCACCACTGCACAGGGTGCAGCTGAGTGCACTGAGTGTGTTAAAGAAAGAATCAACGACCAAAAAACCTGCAGACCTAAAAATCCATCAGCCTTTTCCTTCCCTCTATCATCTAATATAATCTAATAAGCAAGATACTTCGTTTCATCCAACTCTCTACATTTCAGACACAAGCTGAAAGTCAGGGATTTTAGCTGAAGGCTAAAATCAAGGAGGAAGACATAGGAAAAAGGTCAATACTACCATCCAAAACTAGCAAATAGTTCATACTTCTGCTCTGCAATGTGTGCAGTTTCCCAGCACTTCTCGGTTAACTGTCAATGTTTATGACAGGAGCAAAGCTGCAAAGAGGAAGAATGGGTAAAAAAGTTAAAAAGTTCAGTTTTGAATGGGACACACATGCAGACAGTTGGAGATCTGGGGAAGCAGGGAATATACAACGGCAAAATAGCTGGCAAAATTCAAATGTCAGGTTACAATTCATAGCATGCCAGGTGCTGCCCTGTATGTTTTTGATAAACTCGTTTATTTATTGCATCTGATATCATTTTAAGTAGGATTCTTCTGTCCTTCGTACTCCGCTCTCCCCCCTTCTAAACAATTCCCTTCAAATCTCCCTGCCTTTCCCTCAATTTTTAAATAATATGAGAAATTTACACAGGTCTCATCTGTGACTTCTTGTCTGGCTCCTTCATCAGAGAGCTCTGACGATAAAATTGTTGGGCACTCGCATGCTATCTGCTCCTTTTTAGATAACATGTACTTCCATGAGATCACCAATATCTGACTGGAAAATAGGCCACAAAGGCAGCCTGAAATCCTTACTTCTTGCTAAATTGGTCTTTTTACTCTCAATAAGGCTTTCCTTTAACTGAAGGAAAAAAAACCCAAACCCGGCATACAATTAAGGCATACAATTAACCACCATGGACTGGCTGATGAAGGGACATCTAAAGTATGCAGAGACTAACAGGCTTTAGGTGCGTGAACTGCCAAATTATTAATGTAAGTGCATTGATTAACATCATTGACATAAATTATCTCACCATAGACAATGACATTAGAAAAGAGAGGAAATGTCAATGTTACGAATCAGTTAGACCTCTTACACGCAATAACTCATTTTGGTATCCCCAAAGAGTAATATTTATCTTTGTCTACTCAGAGTCAGTGATTATAGATACTAACCTAACGTAGAATAACAACTGAATAGCAATAAAGAAAACCATGCTTGGAAGAGAAGAGATACTTATGCCAGTCCAAGTCCTGGGTTTCAGACACCAAAAATACTTTTTTGCCATAAACCAGCCTTTTCAGGAAAATGTTTAAGAGACACCTCCACAATTCTGTGAAATGCAAGCTTTGTTTTGGCTCCTCCAATGGCTGCAGTTCCACTAGTAGTACTCTACCTCCGACAATTCTCCCCTCATAAAAGCTCAAATTATGGCATTCCAGAAAAGTAATCCTATGTAACAGCAACTAATGGACTTGCATTTTCTTGTGACTTTTTTGTTCTACTGCATAGGCCAATATATTCTACGTAAAAACACTTCACTTACAGGAAAAATTTACACTGTGTGTAATGGCTTTAAAAAACAAATAGAAAACTTACTAAAGAGCAGCAACGTAGGGCCATACTCTGTAGTTTTTCAAAATTGAAAAGAATCCTGTGTTGACCAAGTTCTGACTCATAAGCTGGGCAAAACATCTGCCACTGCTCAGATTGAAAGTTTTCTGTAATGCTTCTGGTAAGTTTATGAGTTTTCATCTTGTTCTGTTTTTCTGCTGTTTATGCCTACATTTTGGGCATATTCCACTAAACAACGCTAGCTATTGGTAAAGCATAAACATCCGTCTCAGTGCTAAGCTGCTATGGAAGTTGTTCAGAAGTTTCCAGTACACCCACAGAAAAGAGAGTCCACTTCAGTGCAGTCTGGCACAGTTGTTCAATTGTCAGGGCATGGGGTATGTGGGTGTACAAATATGGGTGCACACACACACACACACACACACACACACACACACACACAAACAACGCACAGGAGAGAATGAACTTCAAGGAGCTGCTTGAAAAAAATCCACCTAAAATCACCGAATCATTAACTGAAAATAAAGACAGCTTTCAATGTCAGCACAACATACACAGATTCTTACTGTTTGTTAACAAGTTTGCAGAATCTTTTTGTTCCCACAAATACCTTATATTGTTAATTTGTTACAGCATTTTTTATTTTAATTCTTTTTAGAACTGCAGCATTTTTATGGCTTGTATTTTTTTTTTTATACCATACATATCTCATTCTAAACGTAGAGGTTTTCATAGTTGTTATTAAAAAGCACATAGACAAAATATTTTATGGTATCTATAATAAATGCAAAGAAATCAATACAAACAAAACTTGGCTTAGCAAACTGTACATACATAAATATGTTCTTTGTTTTTCAACTTGACATTCAATATTTTTCCTCATAAAACCTTTCATGATCTTATTTATTACATCCATTTTTAAACCTTAAAAAAGTGCTTCTCAGATTTACACCTTGTGCATCCAAAGCAAAGGTTAGAACACCATGCCCGAAACAGAAACCATGGGGAATAATACATTGCCATACAAGATCCTTTAAAATTGTATGTTACAAATGCTCTAAAATTTCTTTAGCACTGGTTGTTTTGTATACTGTAGGTATTGAGAGGGAATTTAACAAAGACTGGCTAATGGCTCATTTAGAGGAGCGCATAGGAAAGGGTCTACAGTATAAAGTCCTTGGCTATGCATAGTAAAGGGCAATGACCTGGATATAAAGTGGCTAAAAGATCCAGAATGCTGGACAGAAAGACATTTCCGACACTCATTTCACATCCTCCTTCGTGCCAGGGATGCAAACGATGCAACTCAGATAATACATTGCGTGATTCGATACTGATACATCGATGCATTATTAGCTGAGTGCCAGTAGAGAACAGTATGGACACAGTGGCTACCGCAGAGAGCTAAAGCTGCCACGCTGAGTGCCGTAACACTTTAAAACAGGCCTTGCCTCCTGGCCCGCCCTCCACCAAGGTCGCCCGCCTTCTCGCAGCTTCATAATGGAGGGGGGCCGTTAGTATATTTGAGCATGGGATGGAAAGATCGGGCAAAATTATTGGACAGAGTACAGCTGTAGTCCTCCTCGGTCACTGGCACCAGGCAAGCCAGCCCAATCAGGAGCAGCAAGAGCAGCTGAAGGGGCAGAGCAGCTCGGAGGACCCTGAGGAAGAAGGACGAGTACTGCCACACCGGCCTGGCCTCAGAAGGGCAGGAACCTGAGCCACCTCTTGTGGACCTGGGGAAAGAAGATCAACAGGAGAACAAACTCAAACATTACTAGGGCGGATGTTGCTTCCTGGCAGCCAGCCTTCCCTGAGTGTTTGTTTTAGAATTACTATGGACTTTGGTTGACAAATAGCAGAGGTATTTTTTACCGCACATGCTATTTCCCCAGCACTCTTACAAGACCCTGTATTCCTAGATTGGATCGGAAAACACCAAAAAAATCACAAGTGAATGATCTCTGTGACAGTACAGCCCCTTCCTCAACTATGGAAAAGATTTTCCACTTAAAGCACTGTGCTCTTGAGAAGGGAAAAACAAAAGGTGGGCCGTACCTGTCACATATGTTCATTATAAACTGTCTAAAAAAGAAGCTTCCTTGTTTAAATTATCTATTGCATTTGGTTTGCAGAAGTTATCAAATTCATTTCATTTGGAATACTACAAATGCAATACGATACAGTTACATCAGTATTCAGTTAATGAAAACACCAGCATTCAGGTAGCGGGGACTAATTTTCTCCAAAGTACAATGTATTCTGAATTTTGCACTGAATCAGCAACTAAAATCTCTTTGCTCAACTGACTGGATGCACTCACATTTTGAGTAACTTTCCCCCTTGTGTCTGTGAAGAGCTGTCATGGAATGACATGTTACACATCTATGGGGGAGGTGAGACCCAAGGCAAACATTTCTGAAGGAACACTTCAAATTAAGCGCACAAATCCAATCTACTTTTCAATAAAGGACAAATATACAAATGTCTCATTTCTGCTTTTGACTGAAACTGTCAGAGCTCTAATAAGTGGACGACAGATTTTGACATAAGTGGATCACTAAAAAGAGAGCTTCTACAAGTTACAGAGTGGTCTGAGTGTGCTAATTAAATGGCATGGAAAAGTGCACTAGCCAAAAAGCAGAAGAATTTAGAGCCTTCAAATCATTTGCGCCAAGAATTCTTCCATTAAGATTTTATGTCATCAATTTTGTTTTAGACATGGAAGTTGCTATAAAACATCTGCTTATAAAACAGTTATGAAGCCCCAAAATATGATTTGCTAGGATTAAAGAGGTAACACATAAATATAGATTTAGTCTCAACTTGAAGGTGTAGGAGAGTACGCCTATAGGCTGATGTCAGGTGGTCCCCTAGGACAGCAAACAGGTGGCTACTGATTCCGTAGTGTCTCCCTCCTACCATCCCCTTGTGCTTTCTATCCAGTCTCCCAGATAAATCTGAATCTGTATGAGAAAGCATGCAAAAAACCAGAATGCCATCTTCAAAACTATACTAAGTTTCGCAAGGGTCGTCTTCCCAACATGGTGAGAAAGAAATTATTTCTACGGCTTGAAGCTGTTTCTACTGGCCTACTCATGTAAGTGTAGCAACCCATTATGAAGACCTCAAGAGAACCAGATAGATTTACTGGAATGACTAACAGATACATAAACACTCAAGTATGCTAAATGATTAACTTGACCTAAATATCCCAGGAAGGAGAGATGATCAAAACAAAAGATTGCACGTTGTTTGAATCCGCATTACTATAGCCCGGATGGAAAGCTGATTATTCTTGCATTATGTAAGATCATGTATTATAAAGAGCACACACTGAAAGGATATGGCACATTTAACAGCATCAGAGCATTCCATATTGAAGTTCAATTAGATCAGGACTTCTTCTGTCCAAGAATGTCAAGACGGGAAGTTAATGGGCTGAGGTAGGAACAAAGGGAACATGGAGTGCTTAATTACCTTCCAAGCATTTGATTGCACAGTCCACCTATTGACATGGCTCTCTTTGTACAAATGTTGTTAATCCCTATCAAAAAATGCTATACATAATCCCTATCAAAAAATGCTATACATCTGCAGCTAGTAAGTATTCCTTGCTAATCAGCAAAGTCTGAATTTTCTTCATCAACAGAAAGTTACTCTGGGACAACACTGGGTGTCTGAAGGGGAATTTCCAAGAAGCAGAATCAAAGCTATTCTTTTCCTATGGATGCGGTAGCACAATTCACCACTTTTTGTTCCATGTTTACTAAAAGAAAAGAGTGAAATTATGTGCAAACTGCATGGCTGCTCTCAACAGGGAACATAATAAATTTTCTTTCAAAAATTATAACAGTTCATGGAAAAGTATTTTAAAACACCTTTTCTGGAGTGAGGTAGGTGTTAAACAACAGTTTCTAAAACTGCATGGAAACAATTCAACAAGCAAATAATGAAACATTATGAAAATCTTCAGAGGGTGAATACTAAAAAGTTCAAGTGCTATACTGCCACTGTTTATTGCAGGTACTCCTGTATAATGGACATAATTGGCCGAAAAATGGAAAGCTCAGCTTAAAGTCTTTAATGGATTTGGTAAGGAGAGGTGGTTAAAAATATAGATTGCTAACAAAAAAAGGCCCACTGTTAATATAGGGCAGAGCTCCTATACGCCAGCTTTACTCCAGCAGAAGAAGGGAAAGCTGAAGTACCGTACACTATTTGGGGGAAAAATGTAATTTCTTTCTCTTGAGCTTGCATCTCTTGCTTTCTCTCTTCTGACTGCTCTAGTATTTGTCACACTAGCAGCTGTTTAAGGATGGAAAGAAGTAAGGCCACCTGTTACTCAGCCCATACACAATTCCTATTAACTAGATAAAGGGGAGGGCACAGCTGCGAACCGGGCCAACTGTAGGCTTCATCATGTCAAGAAATCTCATAAATGAACCTACAAAGTGCAAGCAATAGTAACCCTTACTTTGGGAGTCTGTAATGTCAGTGAAATTGAAACTCTTCCCTAAGCATTTCAGGAGAGGAGAAGCTATTGTATTTATCAGGCAATACATCAGACGGGCAATTGAACTTTAATTTCAGCTCAGATAAGTACTTTCATTTACAGATGACTAATCTTTATTTTATTTTTTGACAAGGAAAATATGGTGGAAGTAATCTATTTGGACAGCAGTAAACATCTGAAAGATTGTAACAGAAGAATTTATCATTTGAGCTGAGCTGACAGAAATAAATACAGTGAGTTTAGTGGGGAAGGAAGTGACAAATGGAATGCAGACAACAGGCTTCCATTGAAAGAGCAACTACTGGCCTAGCAGGATATTACTACTGGAGTTCATCAAGGATCAGTCTTGATTTGGTATCTTTATGAAAAGACTACAGCGCAAAGTATAGGAACAGCAAATTTCATCTGCATGATGACAGAAGTTGGAAATCGTTCCAAACACAAAATAGGATTGGCTTATCACATAGAAAGAAGTAGGTTATACCAAAGATCAGAAATAGGTTTAAAGAGTAGCTTATGAAGTTTAAAGTTACAGTAAGTAAGATAGTAATAAAAAATTCTGCTAGAAATTTGGAAGTTCTATGCTGAAGATAATGAAGAGAAAAATCTAGAGCTGTTATTTTACCCATGCTGGCCATGAGGTATTAATGGAATATAGCTGTGAAAAAGGACAAAAGCAACTTCAAGATATATTTCAGTTTGAGATTTACAGAAGAGAAAAGGGGTTTGTTCTAATGATGTTCTCCAAGGCACTAGTGAGACTGCATCTGGAGCAGTTTGTATCATTTTGGTTACCATGCTTCTGAAAGGTGAATTCAAATGTACACAGGCATGTTCAAGGAGTCAAAAAATATTCTCCTAGGAAAGGAGACAAAGAGCTGGGCTTATCAAAGTAAAACCTGAGAGGGACTCAAACCTTTGAAAATAGTGCAGAACAGACAGAAGGGAGGGAAAACAGCTGTTTAAATAAAGGAAGGGATAATGTTGGCATAAGAACAAATGACTGTATCTAACCATGAATATATTCAAGGTGGAAATGATTGTACTTTTTCACAGGCAGAGGAATGAAGTTTCCAGTAGACTTTTTGCCCCCACTACTTCTAAGATCTTAAGATGAAGCTTGCTGAAGTTATGAAGGAGACAGTATGCCGTTCTGCCAGTGAGAGCAGGCGATGACTCCTCCTGGTGACTTCAGAGACCTCTCTAGGAGCTACCTCGGTTGGCTGTGTCCTGACATCCCTTCTCTTCCTGCCTCTCAGCATCATATCACCCCAACCCCAAATGTGGCTTACCCTGCAAAGAAGATGAATATATCTATTTTACAGGCAGTTAAATATGAACTTTAAGTAACAGGCTCTAAGTGAGAGTGCCGGGCAGACCTGGGAGCACAGCCCTGGCGATTTGAGCCCAATCCTCGTCTTCGAACCACTTTGCGACAGTGACTGTCATTATGCAGCCAAAGCCAAAAGGTGTGCTGTGGCTTGGTTTGCTCCAGGAATGACAAGTGACCTTTCAACACCCACTAGTCATTTGGGGGAGGCTTGGAGAGAGCAGGAAATGGAGGTTGGCACTCTGGCGCCAAGACCTGAATAGAGCTGTTCAAGAGAGACAATGTAAACACCCCTAAGCAAATTGAACAATTATTTTAATCTTTTTAACATTTTAATCACTCCAGAAAACCCATAGGCACAGATCCAGGTGTGCACTTACGAGAGCTCTGTTAAACCTGATGAAGGAAGGGAAGGTGCTTCTTGGATTTGCTTTTCCCACTTAGCACACCATTGCTAATACCCCCTGACTGTGCGTTTAATGAAATCCACAGTGTAACATCTAGGTTAAGGTTGTACCTTAGCATCACATGGCATATGCTTGTCTTTTGCTATGATAATGGGAAAGACAAAGTGATATCAAGCTTATTATACACGAAACGCTGTCTCTCTAATTTTTAAATGAACTTTCTTCCACAACCTCCTACGTGATAAACATTTTAAAATTGACTTTAGTCCTCCTCTATACTGAACTCACTCTAACAGGGTTTGCTGATCCAGTGCAAGATCAAACACAAAGTACTCTGATCAGAGGCATGTCAAAATATTAAAGAACACAGTGACAGCTTGTACTGCTTTATCAGTTAAAACCACATTATACATCAACCACAACCTGTCTGGCTTGCGCATTTGATTAAGTTTCCTATTCAGCAGTGACTCATTCGTATTCCATGCTTGTCTGAATGACAAATTGAACATTGTGTTGTACTGCTACAAGATGTGTTAATAAACAGTGCTGGAAAGACTTGATCTGAAAGCTGCCGCACCAATGCCACTGCTGGAAGAGAGGCTGATCTCCAAGCTGCAAAGCACTGCTAGATGCACTGTGAGCCAGCTGCTCACACCTATAACCAGAACCCTTCTCAAAAGGCTGGCAGAGGTGGTCTGAATGTACAGGAGAGCGGAAGAGCACATACGATATATTCTTTGAGTACAATGTTGATAGTGCAAGCATGCTGATCTGCCCAAGATATCCTCCATTCCTCGTAGGTGTTAACGGCTGCAGAGTAAGGCCCCACTCCTCCCCTTTCCCACTCCCTATGAGAAACAGAATGCCAAGCTTTATAGCAGACTGGAGTTGGAAAAATTAATTCTCATTCTCCATTAAACAGAAATATATAGTGTCCATGTCACCTACTTCCCATAAACAAGGCAGCTTGGCAGCTTCTTAGCACCAGTGGAAGCAGTGAAGGATATTCTACATACTCTATCTGCTACATTGTATAGTTTTTTAAGTGTTTATATAAACATCTATACAGTAAGCACTTCTTTTGTCTTTATTTCACTCATATTTGAGATGATTTTTCTGAAAAAACCTTGATTTTGCTTACAGAAAGAATAATACACTCGAGGCATTTTTTAGCTGCCTGATTATTGATCAATCACTGTATTAAAAGCCAGTGTTGCCCTCTTTCAAAGCTCAGATCTTTAACAAAAGTTATTTTTAAAATAAAGTAGTTCATTTTTGCTATAAAGAGAAGAAATAAGATTTAGGCTTAACTATAATAACAAAGATATTTTCCTCACACTTTTTGATTATTTTAGGTTCTTGTTGCAACACGTAAGATGGTGGAATAGCAAAGCACTTCTGCTTCATACATAATGGGTATATGTACACCTGTTCACTTACTTTTTTTTCACTTCATAACTCTACAGGCTTGTGAACTGATCAGTGAAAGAGTGAAGGGACACACATCACACTGACAACAACAGAGATGATGCAGAAGCACTGTTAGCTGCAGGGATGACAGGCTGCTGGAGATAAGGTGGAAAGCAAAAAGCTGTAGCTGCAAGTCTGCTCTCTACTGGACAGACAGAGATGGGGCAGTGCTGCTCCCAGAGCAATACATGGATGTAAGCACTCGGCAAGAGTCAGGTCAATGTTAGCACATTATATCGCAAGTCTTCTGACAGGGGGAGAGAAAGTGATCGCAAATTTTAAAACCCTCAAATTCTGACTTTTAATTTCGAGTCATAACTGCTGAAAACCCACAAACTGAACAAAACATTTCAAGGGAAAAAAAAAAAAAGAAAGAAAAGGGATGTTAGTATGTCTCATCCAGATCTGTGGGTTTTGTGAATTCTACAGTATAGCATTGGCCTATTACCTGCCTTAATTTAATATCTAGAGGTAAAGAGGATGATAAAAAGTGTTTGCCATGAACCTACTGGCATTTCTGCTAAATTATGCCAAAATGAAATAATCAATAAGCATCATGAGTGCAAATGCACACTCACAGTGATCAGGAGTATAAACTACAAATGTTAATTACATTCCTGGGAAGCAAAAGCTGCATGTTCCAAGGATTAACCAGTGTTTCTACTAACAAATAATTTGAAGTAATTGAGACCTACTTTTGCCAAACTAATAACAAAGGAAAGTTTTCAGACTTGTTTAAATCCTGGCCACTTGACAGAGTTGGTGGGGACAGACACCCATCACGGCCAATTTCCATCATCCTCTTGGGGTTCTAGAACAGAGTGCAGAAACCAGGAGAATTAGGTACCTGCTATGTGGACTGCTGACAGAGGGTCCAGGCTGTGAGAGACTACATTTGCCCCGTGGCTGTTTGCAATGAACAGGGGGTAAAGAAAGAAGAATGTTCAGTCCAGGCAAATAAAGACAAGCTACTGATGAAATTAAATTAAAAGTGCAGCAAAGGAAACATAAAAAAAAAAAAAAATCAAATGAAGTGACCAATACCCATGAACCAAGGAAACTGGCTTTTCTTTGCATCTAGTTGAGTATGAAAGTGACTGGAACATACACAGTGAACTCGAAAATAACATTTGTAGTCATTACATTTATAAACAGTAGCTCTGGATTTAAAAAAACAGTAGAAATTTAGCTCAAATAATTTCTAATACGAAATAGAAATTGAACTGAATATGGGACAATATAAATACTGCAAAATGTAACTGCAGCAAAATTAGTATTCTCAAGAAAAAAAATAAAAGGTCCAGGTGCTTCCTTTTAGAAGCTTGGCCTCTTGTACACCTCCCTCCCACAATTTTGAAGGCCAAATAACTGTAGGTGCATTCCTGCACTCAAAATTATTTGCTAGAATATTTAATGCAGTTAGATGATTATCAATCTGATTGGATTTTTGGTATTAGTATTTATTTATTTAGCATCGGTGTATTTGGCACTGAAATTCTAAGCAATGTCACTTCAGTCTCCAAAACTGTGGGCACAAAAAACAGAAGTTTGAAAACCAGACGCCAAGGAATCATACATTGTGGACAAAAATGAAAAAAAAGTAGTCATGTACATAAACGCTAACGTATTAGAGATAGACAAATGCATATTAAAATGTCAAGATGAAACCTATTATAATTCTACATACTCTTTTAGCCAAAGTTTTTTATGGTAAGATACTTTTCCATTTCCTGTAATGGTCAGGCATCCTCCAGTTTAATCTTCTGTGATAGCAGAGCTTTTATTACTAATTTAACTCTAAATTTAAAAGATGAAAGCATTGACCTCAGGAATAAAATATACAGGTTTATATTCTTTCTCCCTTTGAAAAGCCAGTGTTCCTTTACATTCTAATACTAGCATCTAAAAGGAAACTAGTGAATGTAAAAAAAAGAAAAAAAAATCAATTTCAAGAGCCATAAAGTTTATCAAGACAGAACTCAGAGGCTTTACAAAAAGTGGACATGGAAAAAATTGACTGTTTTAAGAACTAAGGAAAAAGGTAAACTAATCAACCAATAGAATTGCAGAAAAAGACAAAATAATTGCAGTTCCATTCTGGGCTCAGAGTATGGAAGCGTTACGTACTAGGCATGTATTGCTACATTTCTTGAATTTTGTGCCAGCGATGTAAACAGACAACACCAGAGCTGCGATCGTAGCCATTGATTAGGTCCTGTTCAACTAGCTGTTTCAAACAATGTTTTATGCCCTTCAGCTCTATTTAGCCATTCATCCAAAGTCTCAATAAGACTATCTGTAACCTTCACCAGAAATGAAGAAGAAATACTTATTGAGATTCCTGATGAAGGCTCTGAAGAGAAGGCCAAACAGAAACGGAGAACTGATTACAGCAGACAAGACCAGACTTTGGGATGCTGCCATCACTAGAGCAAAATACAAGAGACACGACATGCCGTATCACGGTAAACCAACCACACTAACAGCCCTGGTTTTAGAGAGTATTTACCAGTTCTAATTTCATGCAGGATGGGATATGCAGCAGGGCTGGGGAAAGCAGCTGTGTTTTTTTTCTTGGTTTATGCCATTTCCTTTCCTATCAAGTGAGAAGGTGGGCCTCCTTCCAGCTGGCTAAAACTACTGTAGACATCTAGAGTTCCCACCCAGGAGGTGGCAGAAAGTGTATGGCAGGAAATTACCGTTCTCTGTCTGCTTGGAGTGCTTCTTCCAGATACAGGACTCACTGAGCCTGATGTGTCCAATTCATCAGCAGACGACCACGAGGACAAATCCTAAAGTTCAGAAGGAATGGAGCTCAGAAAGGCAGCAACTAGCTGTTGAGGTAAACAAACTCAAAAACCCCCCAAGCCCTAGAGTGAAATACCAGCAAAGTTAATTCCCAAGAACGTAAAATACAACAGTTAAATTTTGTTAGTAATTTTATAAAGTTAAATCGTTACATGTTTTCTCTGTGAGCCCTGATGGAAAAGAAAAGCAAAAAAGTAGTTAAAACATTATTGCTTTACATGAAACAATTTCTGGCAAAGTCAATACAGGAAAAAATACTTGCTCTATAGTTCCTCTAAGAGGTGGGTACCACCAAGGTTTTACTAATACAGGCAAAAACCCACTAGTAGAAGTGAAGATCTGAAATCTCCTGCTTTATACGCTGGGTTGGTCCAAGATTTGAAAAAAATGGTGGAGATTGAAACCAATGGAAAATGTTGAAATCTTTAGCTTACATCTGCTAGAGTCAGTGAAGAGATATGTATAACTCCCTCTAAAATACCCTCAGGTACAAGATCATTTGAAAAGATTTGGAACACAGCTCAAAGCTCAGAAGGCACAATGAGAGACTTTTTAGCCTATTAAAGGGTTTATGTTACGTCTTTTCTTTCAGCACAGTGAGTATCATCTCCCTTTCCAGTGACAACTGACACACTACTAATTTTTGATACTGCAACTAGAATAATTAGCCCATATACTTGGCCAGTTGACTGAATCCGTAATGGCAATATAAACAAACCAAAACATTCAATTCCTCTTGCTATACCAAAAAAAAAAAAAGTACTGAATAAAAAGAAAAATAAACATATTACAAAGGAGATATTTACGTTATGAAGTGCAAGGTTACTTCATGATATTCAAGATTACAAGTGTATTGTCTTAATAAGTATCGTAAACAAGACAAGCAAGGCACTGATTGGAGAAAGATGGTCAGAGGAATGGAAAATGTGTGCCTAACAAATGGCAAGGAACAAAAAGAGATGACTTACCAGTTGACTACTTGAAATGTCTAGAATTTTCTCTAGATCTTTTATGTGATGTGTGACCTCTTTCAAAAGAAGCTTCAGTCTATTTCCAATGACATGTACTTTTTCTTTGGCTTCAAGGCAGTCCTTGCCTTCAGCATGGACTAGCAATTGGCAGGACATATCTTGCAGTGATGCCACCTTCAACTGAGACTCCAGTAGTTCACGTCTGATTTGCTATTGCCAAGGCAAGCACCAGAAGTTTTTTATTGAAATTATTTTTGCAACAAATGGAACAAAGCTAAAACTCTCAAAAATGGACTTTTGAAATTAACAAAATGGAAAGGCTAAGGAAAAGAGGAGCAATAAAAATGTCTAGTCCTGAGAAAATGTAACTAAAATGTTTAATTCGTCACTTGAAATGTGAGGAACAGCCGGTAGTTCATTCCGTAATTGTTTAACATCCTTGATGCTCAGCAAGTTCCCACCAAAAACAAACTTTCTAAAACACTAAACAGAATGAAATGACAAGATGGACAGCAGCCTAGCTGTTGCCTATGAGGTTTTCAGTCATTAGTTTTGCTACTGACAGGAGTGATTGGCATCTTCCACCAAACTTAAATTAGTTCCTGACCTTAGTCCCACAGCTGTTGTATGTTAGCACACAATATACAACACTAGCCCTCAAGAAAAAAAATAAACCTGATTCACTGTTTTTCTCATGACAGGACAGAAGGGGATGATTATAGTCCTACCACTAGAAGGCGGTGATGATCCTGCAGAGTTTCTGAGTCCAGGTTTGGATTGACGGGCACAATCTCATTTTTCCTTCTGTCAATATTCTCTAACCAGAGAAGCAACCCGTGGCTCATTTCATGGAAATCCTGTAAGTGATGAACAATGTTTTTTAAAATGCAGCAGAAAATTCCAGTCAAATTTAGGTTTTTAGTTTATCCTATGATGAGTCCTACTGGCTAAATGACATAGTTTCTAATGAAGTGTAGAATAGCAGATTAGAACACTATTCCAGATACGACAAGTTCAGAAGACCCTGGGCTTGAAAAATATGCTTCAAGTAGCACAAGCATACCCCTTCAGAAATCATTTTGTGAAAGCTGTATTTCAGTTCACATGAACAAGATTCACCTTGAATAATAAGCACACCAGATGATGATATAGATTACATCTTTGGTATGTGGGATGCTGATAATTTCAAATAAGTGTAATACAGACCTGGCACTGCATTAATGCATCCTGCAGTGAGCAGCGCCACTCTTCGATCATACTGCATACACGTTCCCAGCACATGTTCATCTGAGACAGACGCTCTTGAAGCTTCTTGCTCTCTTCGCTGTCAGACTGAGTGAATTCTGAGCTGCACAGATTGATGGATAAGATGATCGCCTTGCGGTTATCAATCGCTTTCTGCAGCTCCTTGATGATAAGACAAAGAGAGATGGGGGGAAGAAAGAGATGAAATAATTGGTAAGAACCAAACAGAGCAGACACCAAAGAGAATGCAGTGATTTGCCATCAGCAACTGCAGAATGGTACCTTACTGTACTAGTCTCTTTGCCTTGGACAGGAGATTTCTGTGGTTAACTCTGCGATAACACCACAAATGTTCACTCTTTAACATCTACTAAAATTTTACTGTGAACATAAACTAGAACATGCCAATTAAACTTTTAAAGTCTTAAAAGCCTGAAGTCACAGTTGAATTTTAAAGATCAGAAGAACTAGCTCATGCTTCAGATATTTTAAAGACAGGGAGGGCCCAGGAAAATTTAAAGAGATGCAGGGCAATCGTACTATAGCTCACAATAAAACTTTTGTCCTCACTTCTCAGTTTTGCTGATAAACATAAAAAGCAGCATGTTTTGCAAGTGGAAACTGCTGTCAACAGTATTTTAAAATAAAAGCTTTTACTGAGGGAAAAGAAAACACACAAAGAATATAAACAGCTTACTACAATTTATAGAAGCAGGACGTGTATATAAACTCTGATTTGCTTACATTGGAAGCCACAAAAGAAACCCCACCTCTTTTGGTTTGGAGGGTACTAATGGGCTTTCCAAGAGCGGGTGAGATAAGAACAGGATTCTTATGAAATGTCCCCTTTTCCACCTAGTTTACAGCATTTACTTAAAAGTCCCATGTCACAGTGACCTTTGTACTACTTATGGCAGCTATATTTGGATTCCAGCAAAGATCAGCATTAATATGCTTTAGATGGATCACTGCCGGAAACAGTGTTTACTGTCTGTCCACCTCATTCCTAGCATTGAGCACAGTGCATTTTGACATTGGCTCCACGTTTTGTGCCTAAGGTTATAAGATGCTAATAACTGAATGTGAAGTTGTGGAGCATCACATTTGGAGACCTCGTAGCAGTAAAGTATACAGGAGATATTATAACAGCAGTGTTCAGGCCATGCTGCATCTGAGATGACAGAAAAAGAGAAGGGAATGTTGCAAAGGACACCAAATTCTTTCTACTCATAAAGCAGACGTTGTAGTACATGACATCAGCGGGTAGGCTATAGCTTCATTTGGGCGCTCTCTCTCTCTCTCTCTCTCCTTCCTTCACACAAAGTAGTACATCCCAGTGATTCATTTATTTTAAAAGAGCAATACAAGTTTCTCTGGAAGAAATTTTATTTAAACTGGCCTTTCCCCCCCGCTCCCGCTTTCATTTGCTGACCTCAGCAATTATCAGTGCATTCTGGAATTATAGTTGGCATAGAATTACTATTTCAAAAATTCATTTGGATTCTGTAGTAAACGCTGGCGGTATACTTTTCTGCCAACAACGTGACTTATAAAATCACTTTCCCAGTTGCTTTCTTCAGTTATTAGCTGTAGTCCGCTACGTGGGGCATGGAGCAAACCAGCTGCACCTATGGGGGCTACCTCTCTTACATGTGTTGCGCTGAGGTCTGTTTATAAGGTAACTCATGAGGGAGGGAAAAATAAAATCTCACTTTCAGTTTTTTAATCCTGAGCTCAATAGTTTGTATGTCAGTGCTGAGATCAAGACGGCAGAGTTTCTCCAGCTCCTCTTCAGTTTCTCCTAACCAAGCCCAAATGCTATTAAGGTCGGAATTGAACTGCTGCCATTGCTGAAGGTTCTGCTTCATTCTCAGCTCCTTGCTTAGAGCTTGGGCCTGGATTAATTCCCATCGGTCAATTACACCTGGAAAAATAAACACAAAATTCAACAAAAGAAAAAATTAATGAGCCACACAAACAATTGCATCCGTTGAATGCTGTGCAAGACAAAGAAAATCTCCTTAAAACCCAGAAAGCTCAAAACCACCAAACACCATGCTGAAAACTAAGTTTGAAGAGTGAGACTTTGGATAGAAAGAATGAAGGATCTGAATAAGTGACCAGACAGCAGGCAATTTTATCACTTTCTAATGTCAGATTACTATGACTTCACAGAAATAACTTGACAATTATTTGATACATAAGGGTCTTTAGAACAGGTTGTATTGGTATAAAGACATAATAAATTAGTATAAACGCACACTGGACATGGAATCTGAAGATGTCTAAATAGCCACACATTTATTATTTTCATTAGCATTTGTATCTATTATAATTTAATATTCACACCTCACTACATTTGCCTAGGCTACCATTGCTGCATTAGAGAAATACTGACTTTAAACAGAGAAAAGCAGGAACTATTTCTTCTAGCTATCTATCTGGAAACACTATGGCTTGCAGAAGGACAAGTTATACCACCCCCTCAACTTTAAATCAAAAAACAAATGATCTAAGAATAAAATAGGCAGCATATCTAACCAAGGTGAAAATGGAGACCTTGCCTTTGTAGTCTCTGGTAGAAATCCATGCTTTTACAGCGCAATCACCTGTTCTGCAGCAGGTGCTTAAAATTCATCGGCTGAATACCAAAACGTTTTGCATCTACAGGGACTTACCCAAAGGCTTAGGGTTATGTCTCATGATATGAAGAAGTTCTTAAAATGGACTTGTATGCCCAATGCCTTTATACGGCATATACAAGGAATACTAACTGATTTATACGTAACGATCTAATAGATGTTAAACAGAACATGGTAACAGACATAGTCATTCTCTCCACACCCATATGGAAGAGGAAAAGGCTGGTAAATATATACAGCCGTAAATAATATACCAGGTGCTTTCTCAGAACAGCAATGCACATGCTTGCCGATTTTCACAACTGCTTTCCATGAAAGAACTAGATGTTACTTACCAGCTGTTTGTGTTTCAGTACTGTTCAGGTTAATGAGTCCAGATAACTTTTCTTCTTCCTCCTTTAGTTTATATCCAAGCCTTTTTACTGAGTCTATGCTTCCACTGCACTCACCTAGTAGCTTCATCTGTGTTAAAATAAGAAACAAAAAAGACCACCTCAACATGCACTGCACAGGATTAATGCGATTTCCAGAAATTTCCAAAAGTAGACCAAGTGTGAAGGTAAAGTCTACTACTTTAACAGTCTGCACTGCTACTAACACCAAAATCTATATGGAAGCTTAAAGCATAAGTTCAAACTAAATGGAAATAATTTGGTTGCCACTGTACCAAGATGCTGCTGGGAACAGCGGGAATGAAAGAATGGGCATCTGTAGGTAACATTTATTCTAAACACGATACTACAAGAAAAGACACTAGAAGATGTGATAAAGCATATTAACAGTAGCGTGAAAATGTTATCTTGCCTCCGAGCACCTAATCTTTCAATTCTTTCAGGAATGAAATGTTTAGAATCATTTATAGAGCGGCTTTCTTTCCAGAAAACGTCGCTGAGAAAGATTTTTAATCATGGATTCCCTATATGCAACCTTGGTTACATGATGTGTGTTTGTAATCCATCAGTAAAACAAATACTGTGCATCACGCTATAAAACCTGCTCTTAAAAGCAGAGGAATTTAAACAAGGATGATCATCTTTAAAGGGATCAAAAATGTGTCTGTGAGAAAGTCCTTTTGGACATCTGCAAAAATGTAACAGGAAAATAAACTCCCTAGAGTCATGTTCCTGTAATCTTACGCTATTGTAAACACGCTAATAACATAAACAACAATATCATGTGATTAAGGGTAGCAACTATGTGAGTAAGTCTGAGGAGCAATAATATCTAATTGCTTTGTTGCAATGGCTATATTTCTTTCAAAAGCAAATCTAAGCTTGGAATACTGATTTGACTTGTGCTCCAAAATACATCACCATGCCTAAGAACAGTGATTTTTAGTTCTGTCAGGGTGTGATGAGACTCAAGCACACACGCACATATCCTTTGTAACTGGAATCCAGCTCTGGTCCTGTAGGTGTTTTGCTGCGGATGATGTTTTCTGTTTGCTGTATTTGGAAACGGCTGGTGTCTAAGGCCTTGTCCAGCTGTCGGATATGTGTTTCCAGGGCACCAGGCTCTCCTATACCAAAAACAAAAGCAGTGACTGACACTCGAGTTTTCCAGAATTTTTTACCTTTTGCACAGGCAGAACAAATACCAGAACCAAACCAGCACTACCATGATTAGACAGTAAAGAACAAGTGGGCTTGTGGCAGTATGAGTGGGACAATGTCAAAGCAAACTGATAATTAATTACATTAGAGGGTGTTAGCAACCTTCCAGAGCACAGATGATTATACCAAAGAACATGCTATCAAAGACCCCAGAGTTTCAAACAGGCTTGCAACCTATTCTGAAGGGACATTTTCCCCCCGAGAATGCCTGCTCTCTCTAAGGGGCACAGTTCTTGGCAAACTGTGTGCTACCCTCACACAGCATGGAGAGGGCATTGCCTCTTTTCGATTCAAACACTCTCTGGTAACTCTGTATTATGAAGTCCTGTCCCATGATCTGCGTTAAAATTTGATTTCTCCTTCTTATTTCTCTTTGCATTACTTCTTCGCACTACACAGAGTAGAATTTTGATCTACATGAAAGGATTCTATTTCTATAACATTTTGAAGAAAAAAAAGCATTATATAAATGATAAGTGATACCGTTACAATTATATCCTCAAGATCCAAAGATGGCTGGACATCTTGAAGGCCCACAGCAAGTACTCCACAACTGATTTAGGGAACTATACTAAACAGCAAAAGTTATAGTGTTTTTCCAGTTCAGACAAAAACAGTGCTTAGATATCTGCAAGATACATTGTGGGCTCATTACACTGTATTCATCCAAGTAGTTTGGAACTCATACCGATGTTTTTGAAGCAGGATAAATTTGCATTTTTTTAATAGAGATTAAGTGAATTCTGTGATGTGAATTAGATATAGCCTGTTCTGACCTGAGGCAGGATACAAACACATGATCACTTTTATCTGTATTCTGTCACTCTATGCCTGATTTGAATTTGTTTATAAAGACATATTTGAAAACATGCACAGACAGGAGGATCTTTTCGTCCAGCTGATGACAGAAAATAGTGCCTGTTGGGTGTTAATCTTTTATCATACCAAAAAACCCCAAAATGGATGGAGTAAATTATTGAACATTGCCTTTCTCTCACTACTTCCAAGATTTTCACAAGTCAGGAATCGATACACATTTTCTATATAGACTGCTATACATGATGCTCTTAAAAACGCCCTCTTAACCAAATCAGTCATAACATTATTTCACAACACTCATTTGGAGAAGAAATAAAAACAGACAGTGAAACTGAGGTCTCAGAGATTTTAAAATGTTTGACATTTCAGTTTTGCAATTACATCACTATTTCAAAGAGGAAAACTGCGATATCATGAGAGAAGGTATTTGTAAAAGCATCTAATCTCTCTGAATGCGTCTTCTCACAAATGAAACAGTAGGTTTAATCTTCTTTAAAAATGCAAGCAACTTGAAAAAAAAAAATCCTTCTTCCAATATGAAAGACTAGGATAAAGACTTTGGACTACAATGCCTCACCTTAGCATTGTTATTGTTTTAAGATCTTGGAACAACAACCAGCCCAAAGGTTTACAAATAAATTATAACTCAAGCTGTGGCTGTGAAAAAAAAAGCAAATATGAACAATTAGGCTTTGCTCCGTATCTCTTCTGTCTGCCTTAATCTTTAGGAACCACTCTTCTCTCAGAGAAGTAACAAAGTATTGAGTACTGTTAAGGTACTCCAGAGAATAGATGCCAATTTGAGTAAAGTACTGATCAGCTTAGTGTAGTTAGCCAAGGTGCGAGGGCATCTTAGCCAGTACTTTAAAACTCAATATTTCATCCATGCACCTAATAATACCTTTAAGTATAGTAGTAAAGCAGGATATTTCTACATTTACAGCCCAATGCCATTGCATAAGAAATATTTATCTCGTAAGCTGTGAAAAGTATAGCGGATGCAAAGAGAAAGATGGTATGCTTGTGCACTGTGGTATTTGCATCTGGCTACGCTTAGTCTTTTTTGATGCCTACTGGAGATATTTCAGAGTGTATTTTCTGTGAGTATTGCACAGGCACCAAGAATTTCAGGGATCTCTACGCTTGAAAAAATAAAAAGACAGTCTAAGTTGACAGCTCAGCAACGGCGGTCTCCTCACAAAGGGAGTCCTTTTCCTTGGAAGGAATATATAAATGGTTCTAATAGCAAATATCCTTCTTGGAGAAGTACAAAGGATGAAGAGTGAAACTCAGAGAACCTACTAAAAAGAGCCTTAAAATCCAAGAAAATCTGACTCTCTTCAGAATAAAGTAATGACCTGAAAACTAAAAGACAGCCATGAGATCAGAGTGTGATATACCAGTAAGTCTTCCTGCATTTGTGCACTTTCACTTGCTAAGATTTATTACACAAAGCATACACATTTAACAAGGATTTCCGTCTTCCTAGGAGAGCAAGACCAGGGGTATCCTACCTCAAGCTAAACTCACAGCTGCCGGAACACTGGAGTCTTGCCCGGGTAAGGAATGAGTTAAGATTTACTTAAGCAGTTCATGATTTGCTCTTGTTTGTGGGTCTCATCCCCCAAAATTTATTCATTCCTTTGTTCCACGCTTCTGGCTATATCCGATAGTTTCTTCTAGTCAGAATAATGCATTAGGCATTGCTGTTACAGATGACATGTCCCATCTGGCAGACCGCAGGCACAGAGACAGAGCCAATTCCCTGTCATATCACATATGCCTCTGTGATATTCCAAGGCTGCAGTCATCCAGGAATCTCCAGCACTTTTTCCAAGGCCAGAAGGCCAGTGGGATCACTTGGGGAAAGCTATTTAAGATCTTCAGGGGCTATTTAAAATATTTTTCCATGAGCAACTTGGCAAAGTGGTCACACAAGCAACATTTGCTTTTTTTTGTTGAGAGAGAACAGGACATCATAGACTTTGCCACCTACCTGCTACACCAGCTGCTCCTCCAAGGTAGAAGTCTTTGTCTTGTCCTTCTTCTTCCTCAGAGTGCAGTGCCCGTGAAACAGCTGTTTCCAAGTCTCGACTGAGGTCGTAGTCATGATCCCACTCCAGGGGGATGGAGTCCATGCTTGCAGGGGTATCCCGCCCTGATCGCTCGCTTCTCACGGGCTGGGCGAGGGGCAGCGAGAGGTTGGAGGAACGCTGCGGAGAGAGAATGCTGTCCACAGATTTGTCACGCCAGTGTATGTCAGAGAGATCTGCTGATTCATCCAGATCCACCTCTCTGTCGGAGAGGTCATGTTCGTCATCAGTCAGCTAGAAGCGTAATGCAAACAGAACCGATCAACGCAACGTGCAGAAGCGCTGCATGCTCAGCTGGGGTCAATGAAATAAAAGTGCCACTAAATAACAGTGAAAGTGATGGGCTTTCCATTTGGTACCCTTCTTTTGCCCTTCTCTTTCCTTATTTTCAGAGGCAGTAAAAAAAAATCCAATAACAGAACAAGTAAGAACGCAATGTCAGCTTATCCTAACTACTTAAGGCACTGCTTAGTCTCACATGAAGCAAACGTATCCAGACCTTTTACTCATGCCACTTGCGGTGCAGACAATGACTTAGAGAAAACTGTGGAAGCAAGTCACAGGAAGCCTAAGTGACCTTTATCGTGATCATTTATATTCTTTCACAATATGAAAAACTTGGGTTTTGCTCCTTTCCTGCAGTGGGATTTGTGCTACCAAAAAACATTTTGCTCTCACATCTTTGGCTGTGGGTTCAGCTCTGCAGACAAAGATCTGTCAGTTCTGCAAGGAGAGAATCACTTTAGCATTTTTGTTTTTTAAATAAAACAGAACTCAATAGTCTGCTAATGAAACTATCTGACAGAGCAGGGAAATGTTCTTATCACTATTACTGCACTGTCACCCTTATTAATAAAGCTTATGAATCTCCAATGTGCATAGATTTCCATGATGATTTACTAAAATTCCAGATCTGGTGAATTTGCTCCCTGAACAGGACATAAATAGCATGTAATGAAGGGAGGCAGATGGTCAAGGTTACAACAAAATTAAAACCACAGAATTTTTTGGAAAGTTTAGAAGTCTCTTATTAGTTCACTCCAACATCTTTCTCTCTCCTAATTCTCAGGTTTGTAAAACGACAATAAAAGAAACAAACAAAAAATACGTATGTATGGAAGTTTACACACAGGAAGGCGGATCAGTTTCTTGTGGTAGCGTTCCACACGACCAAAGACCTCTTGACAGTAACGACGCAGCTCATCTAGTTCTTCTTCAATGACCGCTGCGTCCATAGGCTCACTTTTCTCAATGAGCTGCTCACCCTGCACAATTATCTGCTCAATTTTGTTGTTGTTCAGCGAAATTTCTTGCTGGAAAGCCTGTATAAAAAAGCCAAAGCTTTATCAATGAAATCAATATTAAAACAACCTAAGTTATCAAGAGTGCAAGTCTTAGTATTTTTCAGCAAGAATGATGCGGGTAACAAACAGGAATGGTTCCAAATATTCTGGCAAGAGCAATAATCGGAAAATAAATTTAGCATTCCTTAACCAGCCTTTCTAGTCAAAAACAGTGAAACTAGATGGTTTACCATCTCATTCCTCACTTGTTGCATTTGGAAAGAAAACCCTTCTCTAAACAAGCCATGTCCATGACCAAACGTCTACAATGGACAAAGATGCTAAAGCTAACACACTGGAATTTTGGATAACATAACGTGTTTCACATTTCACCTTTTCCTATCCAAATAACACATTTTTTTTTGAGGCAGAAATGATTGACAAATATAGAAACTTTATGTGCTGGGATAGTGGAGGCTTGATGTTAATAGCTTTTATTGACATTTCCTCTTTTAATCAGGGAATGGAGACCGTCACCTTTGCTTTTTGAAAATATGTCACAGCAGAAAGCTCTCTTACTCTGGCAGAAAAGGACCTTTTGGAACCTAGCATACCCTAAAAGTTTGGGGGGTAAAGCCTCAGCCTGCGAGTAAGGAATTGTACCAGGCTGCATTTTTGCATGATGTCTCTTATATTCTTTTCTGACCCCATTAGTGTTTTCATCCCTTCTCTCCTCCCTCCTCCATTTTCTGTCCAATCATTTCTTTACCTTAAGTTGCTTTATCTTTGCTTGGACATCACATTCTGAGAAATGTTCAATGTTGGTCAGCTGCAGGTCCATCTCTGTTAGCCATACCAGGATGTTGTCACGTGCTGTCTCAAACTCCTCACGTTGGCCAATAAAATGCTGAGAGGAAAAAATAAGGGACATGAAATGATCAGACAAACCAAAACACCCCAGAAACAGTGGTTCTCTGAAGAAACAGTTTTCATGTCCTTCACATCTAATCTGAAATCAGTACACCTTCTTCTTTCATCTCCTCCATGCGTTCTAAGGTTCCCTTTTCAGTAACACTGCCTCCAGCTGCAACTAGCAGATCTGTGAAAGTTATCTTTTAAGAAGGACGGTGTTCGAGGTCCCTGGACGTGTCCTTACAGACTTCATATTTTGACTGCTTCAGACAAAGTGAGCAGATAAGCTCCCTTCCTCTTTCGAATACAGGAAACCCCTCAAGAAACTGCAAATATACTGAAGCTGAATCTCCTGGACTACTGGTCATTCATAAACTATAGCACTGAAAGCAAAAGGCTTGAAAATGGAAAAATACTTTTAGCCTGCGCAGGATGGAAGTAACTCGCTTTTGTAGGTTGTCCCATCTCTGGTTTCCTTCGTGGACCATCTGCTTGAGGCTGCAATCAGAGTCAGTGCGGTTCTCTCGGGCCAAGCGGCGATATTGTTTATTAATCAGTTCCAGCTGAGTCAGACTTTCATGCACCTGTCTCTGGAAAGCCTAAAAGAGGATCAATAAAAGACACCATTAGACTTTTCCTGACTGAACTCAGGAAACATGCAGCCTCTCCCTGTATCTTGATTCTACTTTTACATCCAGAGCAGTGTTAGCTGATCTCCTGGAGATAAACGGACTTCAGCAGGGATGCAGGTACCTATGAAGAGTTATCTGATTGAAAGGCTCCCTTCTGATTAGAATGAGTCAAAAAGAAAAAACAAGTTTACAACATGAACACAGTTCATTAAGTGACATACTACAACAAGGATATCTGTTACAATGACTAAAAACACCAGAAAAAAGAGAGAGCGGCCTCTCTGCTCAATCTTATGTCTTTGTATTTGAGAATGGGAACACAAACAATGAACTACGAAACCGACTGAAAAAA